TTATTTTTTTTAGTTTAATGTCATTTACTTATCTATCTCAGCACATGTATTGTGTGCCATTGTCCGCTTGTATTGAAATTGTCAGAAAATTTGATTTCGTATGTATATAGTTGTTAAAAAATGAGTACAAGAAGAATATGAACAAAAAAGAGATTGAGGGTTCTTTGATTGTCAATTTTGTATATAGTAGAATACTTATATACATAGACATCTGTATTATTATATAACCACAAGTTGAACTGTTGATCTGTGAATACAATTATATTTGAATACATAAGTACTCTATCAAATTTAAAAAGTTGATTAAGGAATTCAAGTATAATTGGATACATCAATACTATATTGTTGGCCTTTTCAAAATTTTATTTACAAGAATACTTATACAGTTTGATACCCACAAATTGTATTTTTTTTGCTCGTTTGTCTAATGTATCCATACTTATATAGTTTGATACCCACAAATTGTATCTTTTTTGCTCGTTTGTCTAATGTATCCATATTATTGCTTAACAACAATGTTGAAATGTATCCATATTTATATACATAGATACTTGTATTGTTATATAAGCACAAGTTGCAATGTTGATTTGTGAATACAGTTATATCTAGATAGATAAGTACTTTATCCAAGATAAAAAAATTGATTAGGGAATACAAGTATAGTTGTATCCAACGTATTCATTTTTGTGTTTAACAACAATGTATTCATTGTATTCTATATTGGTGTATTCATTTTTTGTTTAACAACTGGTGTATCTATTGCCATGTAGTTATTCAAAATCGAAATACTTAACCTTCATTCACAAATTCAACAATTTGCTTACATACAATAATTTGAATTAACAAAAAAGATTTATTAATACCTTTACAATGCCAGAATAAGAAATATGGAGACAACGAAGAAAATTGAGTATGATGTATCACAATTTTTCTTAAATTGATAAAGAATATGACCTGATATATCTTTAAATAAGTATTTTTTAGTTATAAAGTTAATTATGGAAAGTTGCTCATTATATGGACGTAATGTAAGGATAGTGGGTTATATTTAGAGTCAATTATTTATTTAGTTTGTTGTACTTAAAGATGTATTAATGTATAAATAAAAAAAATATAAAACGATACAAAAATACAGCAAAAAAGTGATATAAATTGTAGTCATTTATTGTAAATAACATACTTATAGTTATTGGTATTCATTAACCCTATAAATATAGTTATTTTTGTAAGTTGCTCTGTTGTCCGTTGTTAACATTAGTTATCAAACATCAATTCCATTCTTAATTCTTCCTCCATTAATTTTTGTAACCTCTAGGTCATTTATCTTCACTATTTACTACTCTATTATCTTCCTATTTATTCCTAGGAAGACTTCTTCTAGTATAAATAGTGATGGTCTTCATTTGGTTTAGATACACAAGAAAATAGAGAGTGCAAAAAGTTTGTCAAAAAAGAGAGTTCTTATTAGTTGAAGGGAGATGTTCTTTTTGTGGAGCTTTGGACTCAACTCTTGTCCAGAGTTGTTGAGTTATACTTTGTGTTAAGGTTGTTGTATCCTGGAGGGGACAAGTCAAGAAGGACTACTGCTGGACCGGTAAAAAACATTTGTTGCAGTGGGCTTGAATCTCCTTAAAGAGAGCGAGATATCTGCGCCTCAGCCCGAAGAGATTTATTTCTTCATTTTTATTTTCAATTGTAATCTTGTAATTCTGTTATTTTGTAATTTTTCACTAACAGATTTCATTGAATGTCTAATGACAATTTTCCTTGATATGTTCTTCTCCATCCACTCTTAAGATTGAAATTGTCTCATAATATAAAGTCAAAAAATGCATATATAATCTGTTTTTGAAAAAATATCAGTGTCAAGATACGCATGTATTTAAAAATTATTGTTCTTGCTCATCAAATTTTTCATATCTATAATTATATTTAATCTTAGCTTTTGATTAATTAATTATTTTTTCTTAATTTACTTTAATCACAAAGCAAATCCTCAAAAGTATTTGATGTCAGCTTATTGAATAAAGTTGATTTTATCACTAGAGATGATATGAATCGATTATTACTTTGCTTGATGGCGCATGATGTTGACATTGTAATTCAAAAATGAAATAGTATATGTTTCGTGATATCAATATAAATGAATTGTAATTATCAAAATGTAAAATTGCAAATATTAGATATTTTATGTGATGTGATTATATTAGTTAATGATTCATTTTATTAGTTTACTTAGGTGTTCTTGCTTGCACATTCCTATTACGCGCTCAAGAAAAAAGATCATAGATGCAAAATTATAAACTTAAAGGTTATTCAAAGTTATTAATTACTTCAAGGAAAAAGAGTTTAAAATACCCTTAAACTATGTGAAATCAATAAAAATGCTCTTGTCGTCAATACTTTAGTTCAAAAATGTCATTGCAGTAAATACTTTGGTTGAAAAATACTTCTATAATTACTAAATGGATCAAAAATGTTCTTTTCGTTTAACAATGCAAACAAAACTAACATCAAGCTTTCGTGCGCAACATGGGCTGCACTCATCTAAAAAAATTAATGATTAAAAAAATTGTATTAGGTAAAATTACACTATTATGCTATGTTATTTTAAATATAATTTAATCAAGATTTTCAATGTTCACCTAAATTGGCCCAAAGAAGAAACTTAAGAGCCCTAGAGGGCTATTATGGAGCCACAACCTCCTCTCGACCTCCAAAAATTTCAAACTCAAGGTAAAATGATAGATCTTGATAAGACGAACCTAACATAATAAAATTCATTTCAAATTTCATCCGCAACTTCGAGAAACTGCAAATTATAGAAGTGATTACTATAGCAAAATTTCAAAAGCAAAGTACTAGCCATTTTTCAAAATATTTCTCAATCAAATTTCATAGATTATATTATTTGTCTATGTTTGACAAAATTTTGATTTATATATATGAGTGTATAAATATCTCTTATAATTATTTATAATGTAATATATTGTCTATGTTTGACAAAATTTTGATTTATATATATGAGTGTATAAATATCTCTTATAATTATTTATAATGTAATATATTGTATATCAAAATTTTTAACATCTATATAAAAAAGAAATATAAAAGTTTTGTATACTATTGTATATCAGATATATATTATTTTATACTAAATTATGTTTTAAGTTAAAAATTTATAATGTAAGTTTTGAGCTAACAATAATTTATTTGTCCTTTTTCTCTATATTTATTAGATTGTCTTAAAATGTCTGATGCAAATAAATTTTCTGTTCTAATTTCAAAGACCTCCCTCCAGGTTTCGCTCTATAACACTCACATCCCCTGTGGTTTAAGATATTACATCTACTTCCCATATTTTGATTTTTTGGTAACCATTCTTTAAATTTATTATGATTTGACACATTTGCCCTTTTTATACTAGTTTCTTCATATTAAACATATTATTAAAAATGACTCATTTAATAAATAATTCAAAAATAAACAAACACAAATTAATTAATATTATTATATTATGTATAGATACACATTCTTTTTACCAAACAAAGATCGAAGGTGTGCAAATAAAGTGAACTAATTTACTGGTGATGTAATTCACGCTAAGCCATCATTTTCACTAAACATTAACTTTCATCTTCATCTTTACCAATTCATGGGTGATTTCTTCCAATCGAAGGTGAAAATGGACTTCCGAGGAGAGGAATCAGATAAGAACGATCAATTTGTTTTATTGAAATATTTTTACTAGTTGATTCAAGAAATAGAGATCCTAAATTAGACCTAAGCTTGAATGAGAGATTAATAATAGAGGAAATTGTTGATTCTCAAAGCAATCGAATTTGTAATTTCTAAAGTGACGATATAATTGTTGGTTGCTGCGGGTAAGTCCATTCATCTCTCTTTTACTTCTAATACTCCAAAACATCTCTCATATGTTAAAAATTAGGTGGTACGATATTAACCATTAAAAATTGAACAGGACGAGCATCAAGTAGGATGATTGATATCTATGTATATGTTTTTAGATTGAATTAGGCTCTAATAAAAATGATAATATCGGTAATGAGTATCTGATAGATCTCAAATCAATACAAAAATTATGATAGCATGTCGAAGCTCTATTCTTGGAATTAGGAGGAACAAGGTTATGTTGCTGGAAAATAATTGTGATGGAGAAAGGCGGCATAATTATTTTTTTTGGAAAAAATAATATAAATAAGGGTAAATATGTCAAATTATAATTAATTTATATTTATTTTAAATAAGTTTAAAGAATGGTTACCAAAAAATCAAAACAAGAAAGGTATACGTAATATCTTAAACCACGGGGAGGTGAGTGTTATAGAGTGAAACTTGGAGGGAGGTCTCTGAAAATATCCCTTTATAATTTCATTCACGTGATTTTTTTTAGATTTTTTTTTATAGACATTTATTTTTACCATAATTAATTGATACATCATTTTTATTTTCTTATTTCATAATATAAAAGTTAAAACCTTTCGTCTTTTTACAAATAATCATTTTATATAATCTTCATGTAATATAAAATTTTATTCTTTTCAAATTCTTCATTTGTTATAAAATTATTTTATTCTAAAATTTCTAAATAAAATAAATTGCAAGCAAATATTTATATATTATACATAATAATGAATAATTCAAATAAAAGTGAAATCATCGAAGAAATACAATTACATAATAAATATATTACATAATCGTAAAATTTATTTTAAAACTCAATTTTCAAGATTATTACGTTACTTCCCTAAATGCTCTATTAATATATTACAAAGTTCAAAATGAATATTTTTATCCTAAATATTTTTTTATGTCTTGCTAAAAATTGTTTAAGGTAATAATTTCATCTTATATTCATTATTTGGTGTATTAATTTCCTTCTCCTATTCCATTTTAAATTTTTGTATCCAAGTATTTTTCATGTTCATTAAAAGTAGTTTAGTAATCAAGTAAATTTATTACTGTAAACTGAAATGAATTCAGGTATGTTTACTCAATCGCAGTTCGAAAGAGGACCAATTTCTTCTTCCATCACTAACATTTTCCACCATTGTTGCAACTCAAAGAATCTCAGAGCCATTAAAGTATTTCAAGCACACCTAATTAGAACTGGGTTAATCTTCATCTCCCCTAATTTTCAGTTCAAACTTGCAACTTCACTTCCCAACAACAACAACAACCATCTTCAGACCTTAACCAATTTCTTCAAATTCCTCAAACCCAGAAATCCTTTGCTCTTAAATTCAATCCTTTCCCATTTTTCCCAAAATGGGTTTCATTCTCTTGCTCTTCGTACATTCTCTTTCATGCATTTTGGTGGTATTGACATTGATTCATACACGTTGTGTAGCTCCATTACAGCTTCATCCGCTGTGAAAGATGTGAAATTTGGGCAAATGATTCATACCCTTGTGCGGAAATCGGGTTGGTTTTCTAGTGTTTATGTGGGGTGTGCTTTAGTGGATTTGTATGCGAAGTCGTTGTGTATCAAGAATGCAGCTAAGATGTTCGATGAAATTCCTGTGAAGAATACAGTGTGCATGAATGCAATTCTTTCAGGTTATTCTGAAGCTAAGATGTGGATGGAGGGACTGGCATTGGTGAGGAAGATGCCATGTTTAAATTTATGTTTGGATAATTTCACTTTTTCAGCTGCTTTGCGTGCTTGCGTTGGGCTCTCTGCATTTGAATTGGGTAAGCAGGTTCATGGATGTGTTATTCGAAAAGTTCATGATATGGAATCTGATGTGTTTCTGCAAAGCCTGTTGATTGAAATGTATGGAAAATGTGGGTCAGTGGAGAAGGCTAGGCATGTTTTCGACATGGTTGGCTTTCGATGTGGAGAAAGAAAGAGGGATGTTGTTCTGTGGACATCAATGCTTGGTGTTTGCGGAAGAAATGGGAAATTTGAAGAAGCCATTAGTCTGTTTAATGATATGGTAATGGAAGGAATCAAACCAGATGGTGTGGCGTTATTGACTGTTCTCTCTGCTTGTAGTCACACTGGCCATGTAATTCTTGGAATGCAGTACTTCGAATCAATGACATCTAATTACAGTTTGGAACCCAGTCCTGAGCACTATAGTTGTGTGATTGATTTACTGTGTCGTGCAGGTGAGTTGGATAGAGCATGGAATTTAATCAATGACTTATCTTACAAAGAGAATGATAATTTTACTGTTACCCTGTGGGGGGCCTTGCTTAGTGCCTGCCATAATTTTGACAATGTCGAACTCGGTAAATTAGCTGCTCAACGGGCACTCGATTTAGACCCTCAAAATGACGGGGTTTATGTTCTGCTATCGAACATGTATGCGAGGAATGGTCTGTGGAATGAAATTGAGATGTTGAGGGAACAGATAAAAGAGAAGGGATTAAAGAAAGACATAGGACATAGTTTGGTAGATATCACTAGATGAGATAAAGGCAATGATAAAAAATAGGCCACATTTTTCTTCTCATGGATTTGTTTAGTTAAAAGAAATGGTTTATGAGGTATGGCACAAATGAGGGTCCTTGTTGATTGTTTTGTAAGATACATAGCTAAAAGTGGTTAGAGTATACTGTAAGAGAAGTTATGGTGCTCAAGACGGCTCCGTTATGATTTGGTGCATACTGTAAGCAGAGTTATGATGTTCAAGGTGGCTCACACATGGGAGTCCTGCTACAAGTCAGTAGCTCAAGTGAGATTGTTGAAAGACCATGCTTCAATGTGGACTAGTTTCTTGAATGTGCAACGGCAGAGCAATTAAGACATTAAAATGCTGAGGAATAACCTTTAAAATCCAAATATTCCAGGACAAGGAAACCAAATATAGTAATCAAATTTGACATTAAGCTAAACAAGGAACTTCTATGGCAGAAGAGTGCCTCTTCCATCTCAATAAAGAGCTACGTGAAAGAAATCTCAATTCTATTGGACAGGAGATGTTCTTAAAATTCAGTTTTCATCGAAGTTCTTAAATTTTTTTGTTGGACTTGAGGGGATGAGCCAAATTCTTATTTGTGAAGTGACAATGGAGAAAGAGGGCTAGGCCATGACTTTGAAATGCTTGGGCTTAATGAGCATTGTAGGGAGAGTTCTACTAGCAATGAAAGTTGATGGAATTACATGCAGGCAGAGAGATAGAAGGAATTAGCAGAGATAAAGAAGAAACTCTGGCAATTCAATGTAAAATCTATTGGACATGCTAGTAATCAGGGCTGCTTGAAGCACATCAAGATGACAAGAACTAGCTCATCTGGAAGAGGAACTATAATCCTTTGTAAGTTTCCTCATATTTGAAGTACAAAGATTACAACTAAATATTTGGAAATCACTTACTCTTAATTCTTAACGTCTGTGATGGTCAGGAATTAAAATGAAATGGGTCCTAACAACAGATCGATTGACTTATAATGGACAGATGAGCTATATGAAAGGAATACCAAATCATATTTTGATACTAAATATGCTTGCCTCCTCACGTGAAGGATGAATTTATTGCTTATTTTTGTCATCATTGTGCATTGAAATTCATTTGCTAAATTGTGGAGGACTGGAGTATTGCTCTAGTCATTGTTAGAGAACTTTCAAAACAATAACAGTAGAGAAGTTGTGGAACCTGATAGGTATGTATGTGTAAGGTGATCCTTATAGTTCAGTTGGACATGTTCAACTTTTATGGTATAGCAAGATTCAATTCACGAAATAAGTTGTGTTAGATCTTCTAAAGCATGTATCGAGATGGAATATGAGCTATGCTGTTCAAAGATCTCCAGATATCTCCAAGTGTACCACCATTAGAATTCATATTTCATCCAAATAAAGATTGTAGCTCAACAGTTTTTCGCTGTGAAACTTTTATCTATTTATTGTAATAAGTACAAGATATCGTTTGATGGTTTATCCAGTGCTGGAGTTGCAATTTCATATTGCAAGATTCAGAAGGTAGTTGAGCATAATAGATGTACAACATCTACATCTTAAACCTGCTTCCGATTGGTGAATTTATTATAACTATATGTAAAGTAATTGCTGTTACTCTGCTGAGAGCTTTGATGTAAAATTTCTTTTTTCATTATGATGTGCTCGTAATTTACTGCAAAGTAGAGAGTCATGAGAAAGAATTACAACTGTACCAATCTATAAGAAGAGAGTTGCACTAAAATGTTTCTGAGTGGAGTGATGCAGACCTTACTCTATTAATTCTTTCTTCATATGTTAAATGTTCTTTTTGATAATCTTCTAAGTACTTGGACACTTTGGCGTGTTTGGACTACCAAGCTAATTAAGGATTCAAGTGGCAAGCTTGCACACCTGGGGCAGAGGCTGAACTCAGCACCTATGAAGAGTATTTGTTTTTGATAGGTAATACGATATGAGACCAGCCAATGAAGTGGGTAGTCGGCTTGGTTGCTGCTCGGTTACGTTGGAGAGGTTCAAGGCTGTGATAATAAGGTAAGGAATGGAAAGCTGTTTCACTTTGGTTTTTCTAAATTTCGGATAATTGTGCATGTGCTATCTGTGGTCCTCTCAACTTACTTAGTTGTTGCTAGCTTGTGCCTTTTTTTTGCTCCCTTACCAGACACGAAATCCGAGTCCTTAACATTTACAAGATTTAATGTGGGTTCCAAGAGTTTTTTCTTGGCCTATGTTTTTGAGGGATCCTTATAACTCTGTCTCTCTCTCTCACTATAATGCTGTGTAAATGTTTGTGGCTTAGAAATTGAGGCTTCTTGTATGTAGGACAAGTCATATGGGTATCTTAAACTCTCTCGAAACCAACCTATATTCGATGGTTTATCATGACAGCATCCCTCTTCAATTTGGGGTTTGATATTGTAGATTGTGATCTATGATAATTCTCTAAATAGAAGTAATAAATAAAAAAACACACCCTCCCCAAACCAAAAACAGAACAATAAAAAGTTATTTGCTTGTGGGTGGTGGATGGTCTATTTAGTTTAATCTTTGATGACATATCAGGTAAGTGAAAAAAACAATTTCTACAACAATTGCATCAATTTATGGATTCTTGTAGTAGTCAGTCAGTGCTAGTGATAAGAAAGCCAACTCCAAATGGTAGATTCTCCCGTAAATGTGAGTATTCACAAGGCAGGGGTAAGGTCGACGTACACACCACCCTTCTCAAACCCCACTTGTGGGATTACATCGTAGGGTATGTTGTTGTTGTACTAAGATAAAATACCAAGGAACATGTCTCAGGTAGACTGTCAGACTTAATGAGTTATAGGACCATCTACAGGCAATTGGAGCATATAAATGAGGTACCATTTAAAGGTAGTTTCAAGTTGTTGGAGCGGATAGCCTGATATAAACAAGCTTACAATAGTCTTTGCTACAACAACAATAACAACATACCCAGTGTAATCCCACAAAATGGGGTCTAGGGAGGGTAGAGTACGTAGATCTTACCACTACCTTAGAGATAGAGTGACTGTTTCTGATAGACCCTCAGCTCAAGAAAAAATAAATAGTCCAAATAAATAAATAATTGAAATGAAGAAATCATTGCAAAATACTATAGAAAACGTAACAAATCAGAGTTAATAGTGGTCATAATAAGATAAAACAATAATCTATATGTAAAAGAAATCACAAATAATTACCAAACTCAAAGGATAAACAACTGCAACAGTAATGCGGCTAAGAGTATAGAAGAATAAGTGAGACAACGCTCAACCATCTAATTAACCTCCTACCTAATCCGCATCCTCCATAATCTCAATCTAAGGGCATGTCCGCGGTAAGCTAAGGTTGCATCATGTCCTGTCCAATCACCTCTCCCAATACTTCTTCGATCTACCTCTACCTCTAACTCTTCTGAAACCATCCACAGCCAACCTCTCACACATGTCCGGACCATCTCAATCTCGTTTTCCACATCTTGTCCTCTATCAAAGCCACTCCTACCTTGTCCCACATATCTCCATTCCTAAACTTATCGCTCCTAATCTTTACTATTGGAGTAAAACATCTTTGAAGGGACAGCCTGCAAGAGTAACATGTCATTCATGTGGTATAGAGAAGCCTGAGTCACCATCAAACTGCAAATAGACGAAAAGTGTGGTTCATAACTAGCTTCAGGCATGACCTCATTATGGTATGCACAAAGGAAACACACCCCTCTCCCCCTCCCCCTATCTCATCAATTCATTCTTTTATTATTTTCATTATACTTACAGGGACACTCTTGACCAATTTCGTTTTCAGTACATTCGATTTTCAGCTACCCGGATCTAGTCCTCTCTCTTTCTTGCATGTGAGCTTTTAGTTATTTTGTAGTTTGGTGTATAGAAAGATGACAAACTAAAGAGACAAGAAGAGTCAATTTTATAAATGTTTTGTTTGCTGATGAAAACATCATTGTTAGTATTCATTTTTGTTCTACTGTCAAGTTCAATAAATCAACTAAGCATTGTAATCCCAAAGTTTCTATGGTTATCTCAAAGGATTTGACATAATTGGACTTCTTTTTATGTTGTCCATCGACATACCATTGCTCTTCCCATCTCTATAGATTCCAATTTTTTTTATTGATGGGCATATATATATGTATGATTGAGACTTTATTCTTCTTTTGGCTTTTTGAGGGAAGGATATTTTGTTGGGAGCGCCACCCCCGAATGGGCCATGCAGTGCGCAATTCGGATTTAGTCGGAGCTTCAATGTGGGCTCCACACACCGGGTGGGAAACAAAAAGAAAGGGACTTAAAAGGGCATATCTAAGTGTTTTCTTGATGCACTGAAGGGGTGGGGGGTGTATATATGTATATTGTTTTTCTTTATGAAAGGAACAAAAGAAGAAGACAGAAATACTGGAGTGACTGTAATTAACATGATAGCTCTGTGGATCATTTTCTGAGCCTTAGAACATGCAAATAGATACTAGTATATCTAACTCCCTCTTCCCATGATGGAGCCAAAGGTTTCCTCCCCACCCACCTACCCCTTTTTTTTTTGGAGGGGTGGGGTTGTTTGGATGTAGATACGGATGGAGTCTTGATCAATAGGTTCAACTAAATTTAATATTTTCAATATGTAACGTAACGCAAATATACATGAAATTTTTCAACGTTTTGACAAAATTCAATTCTACTCATATTGTAAAGTTAGTCATCAAATTTAAATTCTAAATTTGTCCTTTGAATAATAGATGGGGAAAATTACAAAAATATACTACTTAAGACTTTTATTAACAAAATATCAATATACTTATATTTAATTACAAACTAAGTTTTTAAATTACATACATAACAAAATATTTAATTTTTGTATTTATTTTAATTTTGTTTTACAGATTTTTCTCTCTCATACTATTAGTATTTCGTGCCTTTTATATGGAGTATAATTAGGATATTAATATTTAACAAATATTCTCTCTCCTAAACAGTTTCAAATACACACGATTCATTGCTTTTATTTTTTTTT